AGGCCCTTTTGAATACAAATAGGCTGGCCACTTAACAAGCTGCAAATCTTCCAGATGAAAAAGAAAGAGAAAGCAAACAGATGAAAGGTACAGGTTGAACATTTTCCTCTGCTGCACAGGATTTCTCTGCCTGTTGTCCCTTCTGACCAGCTCAGTGCCTGTCTCTACATATCCCAGTTCCTGCCCTAGGGAAGCAGGTGGAGGAAGCTGCTAATTACTATTCTACCATTTCTTTTAAGGATGACACTATTTTTAGTAGAAGTGACTCATTCATATAAGTAGGTATGGTTGGCGGGATGGGAGGTTCTCGATGACAACTTAACCCTTATGTCTCAGTATGTTTATATTTATCCTCATACTTTAACCCTTCTCTTAATGAGCACCTCAGGTCAGTTGTGATTCAGAGCACCAAAGAAAACACAGACATTTATCTGGAAATTATTTAAAGTGTTTTCCATCCATATACTTGAGAAGTGAAAAACTTCTCAAAAATATAGATAGGAGGGAGGGCAAGAAAGGGAAAACTGGGAAGGACCACTGTCCTCTTGAAGAGGGGGACAGGTGAGGAAGCGGCTAAGAGGTAGAGAGAAAGGTTGAGGAAATTTTACTTCAGATGCCCTGGGCTTTACTATGCAGTAACAGGGAAAGGTCCGTACTAGGAATTGGGTGATTTAGAAGTCTTGGAGTGAAAGCGCTTCCTTCTGAAAAGGCTGCTTTCTGATTCTGAGACTCCATTTTTCCTCTTAGAAAAGGAAAGCGTATTCTAGAACTTTTAGCACAACCAACACACCCAGCTTTCAAACCCTGGGCACTGGCAAAGCACTTTATAGGTTATCTTACATAACCCTCATGAAACTTTTATGGGACAGGTAGTATTATAATCCCATTTTACAGATAAGGAAGCTGAGGCTTGGAGAGGTTTTGTAATTTTTTTTAAGGTAACATACTAGTCAATGGCTCATAACTCATGTCGGTCTGAGCTCAGATATCCAACAATTCTGGCCCAGTGGGGTGTGGCTAGTACACCAGAGCCTGCCAGGAAGTGATCCTGCTACAAGAGCCAGTGTTTGAACATACCTGCAGACTTCCATATGGGACTTATTGCTTTTTGCTGTTGTGAGAACCTTCACCTGTGTGAGTCTGTGGGCTTGCTGGTTAAGAAAAACATGGTAAAAAATGTTGCCATTACAAGCACTTAGACTTAAATAACCTTTTTTTGTGATTCTTCCTCATCCAATACAAGTTAATTTACCCATGATTTATCTATTTACATATTAATACAGTTTTGTGTATTTGTTATTTAATCAACACTTCTAACGACCAGTCCTTAACCACATTACCTGTTGTAGAGAATGAATCCCTAAATATGACTGACATTTCTGCATAAACTACTAACGTCCCCAGTATCATATGCATGCAGGGTCTTGCTCTGTCATCTTTTGGATGGTTAAAGAAAAGTCATAATTTACTGTAAAATCATCATGTCCAGGGATATTCTTCTTCTAAGTATTTTAAAAGCAAGAATGAAAACTACAATGTTGGACCAATTCAGCTCAATATTTCTTGCTGCAGAGTATCACTGTGGAGCATAACTGCCTCGAACACATTTATATTTATAGTTCCAAGAAGTCATTGGGTTAAGAAAGTCCACAGAAAGGGTGTGACAAGAATCATCAATCCTTTCATTTCTATAAAAACTTTAATCATGAGTTAGCATTTTAATTTTCTCAAAGGCAACCCTTGACTACAAAACCATCAAAAATGAAAAAATAGGGATCCTCCTGTTGTAATTTTCCATTGTTGCTGCCAATAATGACCAAGTCTGTCTACTGACCTTAGGAAGCTTATCAACATATCTGAGTGTAGATTCCTGAAAATACATTGTTTTATCAAAACACTGCTGAGAGTTTTTCACCTGTTCTTTCCAGACGACCTAAATAGACCTTGCACATTCCACCGTATTCTCCTTCTTCTGGCAAATCCTTCGCCTTTCTTTATGTGCCCCTGAGCTTTACTCATTCTTTACAGTAGTGTTCAAGCTCCATGTCCTTCTCTGCTATTCCTGGCCAAGACCTTTTGATCTCTAGACCACTGCTGTCCAATAGAAATATAATATGAACTGCACATGTCACTGTGAAAATTCTAGTAACCACATTAAAAAAGTAATAAGAAACAGGTAAAATTAATTTTAATGACATATTTAACATAACCCAATATAGCCACATTATTGTTTCAACATGTAATCAATAGAAAAATTAGTAATGAGATAGGAGATGTTTACTTTTTTTGGTATCAGCTTTCTAAAAACCAGAGTGTTTGTTAATACAACACATTTCCTTTTTTTCTTTTTTTTTAGACGGAGTCTTGCTCTATCACCCAGGTTGGAGCGCAGTGGCATGATCTCGGCTCACTGCAACCTTCACCTCCAGGGTTCAAGTGATTCTCTTGTCTCAGCCTCCTGGGTAGCTGGGACTACAGACGTGCCCCACCACACCCAGCTAATTTAGCTAATTTTTGTATTTTTAGTAAAGACGGGGTTTCACCACGTTGGCCAGGATGGTCTCTATCTTTTGACATCGTGATCTGCCTGCCTTGGCCTCCCAAAGTGCTGGGATTACAGGCATGAGCCACTGAGCCCAGCCAATACAACACATTTCAATTCAGACTAGACACATTTCAAGGGCTCAGGAGCCATGTGTACTGGATGGCACAACACTGAACCACATGTTCTGAGAGGGACAGGGTAGTTCCTGGCACACAAGTAGACTCAAACACTTGTTGCTTTCAGTTCTTGCTCCTAGCCACATTTATCTCTGTTCTGTCAGTTTGCAATGATCACTGTGGCCGGTGTTAGTTACCCTCCAAGGAACGCACACATCCTCTCAACTAATTTACATGCCCTTGGACAGACACCAAGGAGTGTGCTTTGATTTTCCACAGCGTACACTGAGATGCTTGTAGTCGCTAAACCTGGAGTTCCACTACAGGCCTCCCCATCTTGGCACATGTTGTTACCTCTTCCAGGAATGTTCTTTCCCCTTCTCTTTTGAAAAGTAACACCTGCTCTCACAGAGCACCCTGTCCCCTGCCACCTGTCAATTTGATTTAATACCCATTTTCTGAACATCTTTTATTAAAAGATGTTACTCCTTGGTTTCATTCACTGCCCCATGAGCTGTTTTGTGTGTGCACATATGTGTGTTTGTGTATATTCCATGTCTTACTGGTTTTAGATCACTAATACCAAAGACTGTCCCGGTAAAATGAATGCGGGAATGCTGTATCACATATGCCGAACAAAATATCAATTGATCTTTATAGCTGTGAAATAAGACAGGTTTCTGACTTAAGAGATGCTCTTCATTTATCACCCGCAAAATAGGTAAATGGCTAACTGCCCAACATACTGGCTCATTTCCTGGAATAGGAAAGGAAAACATGGAACTTCAATCCTTATGATTCCCTGCAAGGGAGGTGCTGTTACCCCCATTTTACAGCTGAGGAAAAAGAGGCTCAGAGAGGTCAAGAGACTTGCTCAAGGCTGCGCAGCTAGTGAGTGCCACAAGAGGAGTAAGAGTCCAGGTCAGTGTGTCCCTGAAGCTGATCTTCGTGTTGAGGCCCCAGTTCCCGCAAAGTTCTAGAGCAGAAGCCTTCTGATCACTTCAAATAACCCTAGTTCAGCAGGAGTCTCTATCCAGATCGTGGGAGGGAGCGCAATGCACAGCCACAGGCCTTTTCTGTCACAGTCCCCCCACCAGGAGAGCCTGCCCCCTTCCCCACTCTGTCAAATGTGAACGGTAGTGACAGAAGATGCCTCCCAACTTGTCAACAGAATAGGCTCCTGGGGACCTGGGAACAGATCAGAACAGCAGTAAAGGCCCTGGGTCCACATCCCGCAGGCTGTCAGAGAGCAGGGGTCAACTCCAGCTTTTGAGTGTAAGAAACTGCTTTACTGTGCCCCCCTGCTTTTGAAATGATGCTTTCTCCCTCATTAAGTGCGTCTGCCACTCTCTGTAATGGAGTCTGCCTAAACATTGCCTAATAGCACTGATTAAACTAAGCATGCATGTGCCTGGCACCATGGCTGCTGCTATCACAGGAATCCCAGGGCTGCTGAGACCAACTGCAAGACACCGAAGCTGCTGGTAACAAGCCTGGCAGCAGGGCACCAGGGTGCAAATCTGATTTGCAAAGAGGAATTAACTTCCCTTCCCATGTCCTATCTCTCCTAATAAGTAGATAGACGGACAAAAGCAAAAGAGATGGCAGGGCTGCTCTTAACTGCACCTGCCATCCTGAGTGCTGTGGCACCTCCCCTGGAAATGGTCATGACCATGTAGGGAACATGGATGGGTTTCCTCAATTAATTTCTCTGCCAGCTTAGTCTGAAGTCATATCACGCATAGATTAGCACTCTTGGATAAACCTAAAATTTGAGTTTGGATTTCGGTTTGTTTTGTAATAGTCTATATATACTGCTATAAAGACACTCAGCATGTAGAAATCAGAATAAAAACATAAATGAGGAAGATTATTTGCTTTGTTTCACAAGGGCTTTGTTGCAGGGCTTCTTTAAATGGTAAGTTTCATTGGTGCATTTAGAATAGAAGTTACCTTACAAATAATTTTTTAAAGAAAAAAGTCTGGCTGTAAATCAGCTGACATTTACAGCACGGTCTCCGTGACGCAGGCACTGGAGGGACGCACGACACACATGAACTCTGATGTTCACGATAACTCTGAAAATGAGCTATCAGCATTCCTGCTGTATAAATGAGAAATCGACATTTGAAAGTGCAAAGTTATCAGGTAAATCTGGTGAAGCAGGTTGAATTGTGTCTCCCCAAAAGGTATGTTGAAGTCCTAATCCACAGTACCTGCGAATGTGACCTTATTTGGCACAGAGTCTTTGAAGATGTTCAAATGAGGTCATACTGGATCTGGGTGGGCCTAAATCCAATAACTGGTGTCCTTATAAGGAGAGTGAGAGAGATCTGACATAGAGGACAGACACACAGAGATGAAGGCCACATGATGACAGAGGCAGAGATTGGGGATGATACAGCTGCAAGGCAAGGAATGTCACAGATTGCCAGCAACCCCCAGAAGCTAGAAAGCGGCAAGGAAGGGGCCCTAGCGCCTTCAGAGGGAGCATGGCTCTGCCAACACCTTGATATCAGACCTCCAGCCTTCAGGACTATGAAAGAATAAGTTTCTGTCATTATAAACTGCCCTGTTTGTGGCAGTTGGTTTCGGCAGCCCTAGAAAACAAATATGCCTGGGAACACCAGGTTTGCTGATTCTAAAGATACCTCCTCTTCCTCAAAGGATTTCAAGGCTGCCTGCTCTGTGGCTGTTGACACTGAAGGCCCTCACTCTTTCCAGTATCTGATTTGCCTGCTCTTGAGGAAAGCCAGTGAGAAGCATTAGACAGGGGAATGACACCATCTATCTGAGGTGAGTTTTGCAAGGCATGGCCCTGGATAAAGGGGAACACACGGGAGACTAGTTAGAAGTGTTGCTATTGTCCAAGGAAAAAGTCGGTGGCTTGTGCTCACCTGGTGGCAGTGGAGATGAGAAGAAACTGATGACTGTGATTGGTGTTGAGAAGGCAGAACTGAAGATTGCTAGCACCTCAGATGTGCGGGCGGGGGTGAGCGGCTTTCAGCTGGGATGCTCAGGTTTCTGGCCTGGGTAACTGGGTGGGTGTTTATGCCATCGTGAGAAGAAGGGGAGTTTATTGTGATAACCTAATAGACTTTAATTGAAATGCATTGGTGGTAGAATTCTCTAAGGAAACAGGCTTTAGAATCAGGCAAATGTAGGTACGTATTGTCTGTAAGGCAACACAGTAGCTACGCAATGTCGGGTGAATCATCTAACCGCACAGGTTTCAGTTTCCTCATTTGTTGTTGTTTGAGACAGGGTCTCACTCTGTCGCCAAGGCTGGAGTACAGCGGCATGATCATGGCTCAGTGTAGCCTGACCTCCTGAGCTCAAGTGATCCACCCACCTCAGCCCCCAAGTAGCTGGTGCAAGCCACCATGCCTGGCTAATTTTTGTACATATATATATATTTTTTGGTAGAGACAGTTTTTCCATGTTGCCCAGACTGGTCCCGAACTCCTTGGCTTACGTACCTCACTCACCTTGGCCTCCCAAAGTGCTGGGATTACAGAGGTATGCCACTGCACCCAGCCAGTGTTCTCATTTGTTAAAAGTAAAGATAATGATATAAGTTAGCATATGTAAAGAGCATACGGTAAGCAAATAATCGGAGGTTAGCGTTTATAAAATATTTTATAAGCAATATGATGCTTTCCTCTTGGAACATTTCAATGATACATCTTAATCATTTTTATTATTGGCCAGGCACAGCTGCTCACATCTGTAATCCCAGCACTTTGAGAGGCCAAGGCAAGAGGATCACTTGAACCCAGGAGTTTGAGACCAGCCTGGGTAACATGGGGAGACCTCATCTCTACAAAATATACAAAAATTAGCCAGGTGTGGTGGCAGGTACCTGTAGTCCCAGCTACTTGAGGGGCTGAGGTGAAAGGATCACCTGAGCCTGGGAGGTTAGGGCTGGATTGAGCTGTGACTGCACCACCGCACTCCAGGCTGGGCAACAAAGTGAGCCATTGTTTTTAAAAAAATCATTATCTTAAAATAGAGAGGATCTTGTTTTTATTTCCTCAATTGAATGTGGGAAAAGTGTGGGGAAATGGCGGAATACAGACATAAAAGTTCAGTGCAAGCTCCCTTTAATATCTCAAGAAAATCAAAATCATTTTCTAGTTCTGTCTGTGCAACTATAAGGTATTTTTAGTGCAGAGTTTAAAAATTTTTAACTAAAAAGACAATGTAAGTGAATGAAAGCCCAGCTATGTATACACTATATATTTCTTTATTTCCAGTAATCATGGGAACAGCATGTACCAGTAACAAAATAGCACTTTCTCTTGCCTAGCAGATTTTTCCTCCTGTCTAAAGGGCTACTAAAACCATTATGTTTTTTCCAATGCAGGACATCTTGTCCTTTCCCTGAGGTTATAGTACTTGGTGCCTTTCATGATTTCAGACAGTAACTGCTCCCTAAGTGGGGCTCTGTTCTTTGTCTAAGACATTTTATCTTTTCTAAAGCACAGCGTTCCCACCAAGACAAGTGCTATTTATGTGTACATTGTCAGAGCTACGCAAATAATTCTTACTTTTCTTGAAATATTTAAAATAAAACATTCAGTATAAATTAATAAAGATCAGGTATTTTAATATTTGTATAATTGGGATTTGTTCTTTCAGCTAAGATACTCATAAATCTAGATGCCATTATTAAAAAGAAGTAACTGGATTTTCTTGACCTTTAAAAACACAACCTCAATGATTTATCATATAAAAAGAGAAAATAAAACCTTGAGCTAAGGATCATAATGAAAGAAGGAAGTTGCTAAAATAAGGACAGAGATCTTGCCAAAGCCTTCTACAACCTGGTTATTTCCCCTTTTATTTTCTTCAGGTGTCTCAAAAAATATTCAAAACTGAATGCACTGTGATTTATCCTTTCTACTTTCCCACCCAGGTCCATCCTTTCTCCCACATTTCCTATCTTGGTTAATGATTCCATTACCCAACTAGAGGTCTGGCATTGTCCTGAACACTTTAATTCTTATTGCCCAGGTCTGACTGGCCACTGGATCCTGGCAGTTCTACCTCCCGATTACTGCTTTAGCTCCTTCCTTCTTTCCACCCCTATATTTGCTCCCTGGACCAAGTGTTCTTCAACTTCCATAATAGCCCATTAAAGGTCTTCTAGCATCTAGTCTTGGAGCTCTCGCATTCATTCTCTACTGCAGTCCATGGGAGCTTTCTAAATTGCCCTGTTCTTCCCTGGTGAAGCACTGGCCCCAAGACCTACAGACTGGAGGGTCAGCTCCCTAGAAAGTCATGAGAAGCCCATCAGAATGATCTCTCCCTTCTGTGAAGTCTTGTATTTCAGTACTCTCTACCCAAGCCTGCACTTGATATTCCAGCTGTTCTGTGCTGTCTGTGGCCTATCAACCCTACCATGCTGCTTTCCTGCCTGGAAATGTTTTTCTCCATCTTGTCACCCTAGGAAATTATTCTTAAACCCACTGCTAGTTCTGATAGTTCTTCCTCTAGGAAGACATCTGAGACTTTTCCTTCTCATCCACTGCCATCTCAGCAGCCCTTTTGTATCTTGACCTTCTTTCTATTCCTGTATACTTCATACTGTATTTTTAATGTTTTAATTTGCACAGTCTATCTCCCTGCCCATATTGGAAGCTCCCTGGACGTGGAGACTGTTTCTAAGTCATTGTTGCTTCCTCCACCCTTACTGTGTGGATACACCAGTTACCCATCAACTGTTAAAGTAAATTATGATCTCAGCTGTTCATTGCCAAGTCTGTACTCCTTTTTCCCACTACTCTACATCCTCCCAATATATTTTATTTTCCAATCCCACCAGGCTCTTATCTTCATCTTGTAGATGAGGAAACTGAGGCTCAGAGCATGGAAGACATTCCCAATATCACACTGCTAGTAAGTAACAGTTAGGATTTGACCCGAGAGCTGGGTGAAACTGCACAGCCTGGATACTCCAATGCTCCTCCCTGCTGTCTTTGCAGGATATAAGCAGTAGATTGGGAGCAATTTCTTCAAAGTGCAAAACATTTCTGCACCTCCATACTTGTGCTCAATCTTCACTCTCCTCTCCTCTACCTGCAGAATTCCTACTTCCCCTTTAAGTTTTAGTTCAAATGCTGTTGACAGGTTTTTTTTTTTTTTTTTTTTTTGAGACAGGGTCTCCCTCTGTTGCTCAGGCTAGAGGGCAGTGGCACTATCCATCATAGCTAACTGGAGCCCTCAAATTCCTGGGCTCAAGGGACTCTCCCCATCTTTCACATTTTCTATTTCTGTCAGCTTGAAATAATAGTTTTCCTCTCCTGTGCATCCTACAATATCTTTATACACAGACACACATCCCTGAGCCTTCGCTTTCATGGCCTTCACCATATTCTAGCTCATATGATGGTTATTAGTACCTTTGGTGCAGAGACCAGGTCTTTTTCATTTTTCTGTGACCACAGCCCCTTATGTAGTGCTATGTACATAAAAGTACATAGTGCTATTTAGCATAGAGTACTGAATGAATAAGTGAATGAGTGCTATATTTCATCAGTCTGTCTCTGCTGGAGAACAGGTTTTATAAATATTCTTGTCCCCTCAGCCCCTGGCCTGGTAATCTGAAAATAAGTATCTGATCAGGTGTTTGGCTCAATTGTATTTATATCTTATGGTATAGTTACTCTTCATACCTTGAAAGAAGAGGAGAATGAGAGGGGAAAGCCATGTGTAATTTGGGTCTTCAGGTCTGAATCCTTGAAAGAAAAAGAGAAAGACTGAATCAGCCTTGCTCTGGAGACTATTCTCAACCAGGAGTAAAACACAGCTCCCTTGCGGGTGCAGGTGGAAATGTGTGAGTTAGTTGGGTGGGGAGGGGGGGTGGGTGTTGGGGGAAATGCTGGCATTCACATTAGTGGTCGGAACCCAGCAATACTAAAGGCCCTAAAATGCACTGGGAAGTCTCACATAACAGAGAACTGTGCTGTCCAAAATGCCAACAGTGCAGATACTAGCTTTTTAAAATTGCTGCCATAACAAATAACCACAAACTTTGAGGCTTAAACAACACAAGCTTATTACTTTAAGCTCCTGTAGGTCAGGAATCTCACACGGGTCTCACTGAGCTAAAAGCAAAGCCTCTGTAGGGCTGACACCTGCCTTCAGGCTCTAGGGGAAAATCCATTTCCTTGCCTTTCCCATCTTCTAGGGGTTACCCACATTTCTTGGCCTATGGTATCTGTCCTCTATCTTAAAAACCAGCAACAGCAAGTTGAGACCTTTTTCCACAGAATCACTCACTCTCCTCTTCTGCCTTAAGGACTTTTGTGATGACTGGACCCATCGGGATGACACAGGGTACTCTGCCCATCTCAAGGTCAGCTGATTAGCAACCTGAATTGTATCCGCAACCTGAATTCCCTTTGCTATGTAACATAAAATAGTCACAGGTTCCAATGATTAGAATGTGACACCTTTGTGGGTTATCATTCTGCCTATCACAGTGTGCCCACATTGGAGGACATCCCACAATTATTGGGCCTCGGTGATTATCTTCTGTGTTAGATGGGTCTGCCTCAAGACAGGGATTCAGAGAACAGTCTGCACTTAGAGAGCTCTGAAATATATACCCCAGTAAAATCCTCAGCAGTCTGTGAAGTGTCATTCCATCTTACAGGCCCACAGTCTCCACTGCCCTTCCCGTCTCTTGAGACACCAATGGAAGCCATCAGGAACATCAGGTCTCAGTCTCGAGACCCCTTCTCAATTGTAGCTGGAGGTGGTAGGCACAGGTAAGAATGAAGGTCATGGGG